GGGAGCTGAACTCTGCAGATACCTTGAGTTTTGCCCAGTGGTACTGACTTTGTACTTCCGGCCTCCAGAAATATGAGAGACTAAATTTCTCTTCCTGTATGGTCAGAGCACCAAAAGGAAACAAAATATAAAATTTCAGTCTCACCAATAAGCAAAGAAATTCCAAATAATGTCATAATGAGATATCACTTCTTGCCTGTCAAATACCAGAGTTATTCAAGTGTGTAGAGAAGACACGGGTACAGTAGGACATGTGCTGGTGTACACTGCTGCGGGAGTGTAAGTTGAGGCAGCTTTGCTGGAGGAAAGTTTGACAACATGTTTAAAAGCCTTGAATAAATTTATATGGATCAAGCTGCTTATTTCCATTTCCGGGACCCTAAACTATGGGAATAATTAAAAATTTGAAGAGTGATTTATGCAGAAATTGTCCCTCTCAAGTTTGCAAACTGAGTGTGGGTCCTTAGTTGTGCTGTCGTGGCTGCCACAATGTCCTGAACTGATTCAAAATGTTCACCCTTCATGGCCATTATGACTTTTGGGAAGAGCCTGAAATCGCCTGGTGCCAACTCTGATGAATAAGGTGAATGAGGACACACAGTCCTGTTCTGACAAGCCTGCCTTTCCACTGGAAGGCACTGGGCATCTACATTCACCGTATTTTTGATCACACCCCATGAAGACACTCAGGAGAAGACTTCCAGAACTGCTTCCGCAAGTGGCAAGATCAATGGGATGAGTGTGTTCAAGAAAGATGGGATATTTTGAAGACGGTTAGTGTCGATGTGTCTTTTCCTGCAATACATGTTTTAAAACTTAAACATTCATCCTGTATTTTGATTATACCTTATCTATATATAGTGTTACTTCCTCTTTCTCATTTCTACATATTCTGAAGTAAGCACAAAGTCTTCTCTACTGGGAAAAAATGGACATAACGCTGTGTGTGGGGTCCACTCCCAGGAGAACAGTGATTAACTCCGACCTCCTCTTCCCTCTGCCTGGCCTTACCTGGAGCCAACGTTGCCCACAGCACATGAAATCACTCTCATTTATGGCCACACATTGTTCCTACCTCTCTTTTCTCATATTTCTGCCTACAATTTCATCTAAGTTCCTTTCTTCTTTGCAAGAGAAAAAACTAATTAATATGCTTTTTCAAATATCCTTTGGAAACATAAAAATGTCACTTAAATGTTCAACCACCACAATGTTTTATGATGTGTCTGATTAAATTCATGACACCAGCAGCGATTCCTGCACTTACTCCCTTTCTTGCCTTCTGGTGGCTAATTCTAAAAGCCACCTTCGCACCGCTTCCTCCAGCCTTTGTGTTTCAAAGTGCCTGCCTGCATTGAAGCGTAGCATTTCTCTCTGTAATTTTTTTTTCAAAGTTTAGTTGTCTCAGCCTTTGAAGGTAAATGAGAAACATGATTAAAACAGAGAAAATGAAACTCTGACACTCAGTGAAATAATGGTGGATTTCACGTGGCTGACACATCATAAATCTCCAAAGAGATGAACGAAGATTTGGGCCAGACGCCCAATATCTACCTTCCCAGAACATGAATTAAAAATAAGGATAGTTTCTGGGTTACTCACACATCCTCCCAGCCAAAGCAGGGAAACTGTAGAAAGTCCAGTTTGAGGAGAAAGACAGCCTACATGGACTAATGACCCCCTTTTCAATGTGAGGCTGCTCAGCTGACCAAGGCCAGGTGGCAGGGACAGGCGCTGATTTGCATTTCTCCAGTGATTAATGATGATAAACTCTATTGTCGCTGGGAGAGTCCTCAGGCTGGGGAAGGTTCCTGGGTCCTTGGGTCAGCTCTGCCTTTCAGTTGTGCTGTGACCTGGCCATTCGTGTCAGGGAACTTGTCACCTTGCCCCTGTAGAGCAGCTCCTTCTCCTCCAAGGCTCCTTGGTTTAGTGCTTGGTACCACCATCCTGCCTGGCTGATGGATCCCTCTTCCCCTTCATCTGCTAATGCCACTCCTGCTCATCTGCCTCTCTCCATCGTTCTTGCCCTTATTCCAATCCAAGCCCTTGGCAGCTTTCAGCTGGACCAGCGCCATGCTTCTGGTCTGGGCTGAGATCCAGTCTTTCTCCTTGCTGCAGCCCAAAAGTCTTTCTAAACATGCTCATCTTCTATTTCTGAGAAGGCCAGTAGAATTTTGATGCTGACTGTAATTAATCTGTGTATTACTTGGGTATCATGGATATTTTAACACTATCAATTCTTCCAGTCCATAAACTTGAGCTATCTTTCCATCTATATATTAAACAATTCTAAAATTTACATGGAACCGTAAAAAATCCTGAATGATCAAAGCAAATCTGAGGGGGGAAAAAGTTGGAGACATTACACTTCCTGATTTAAAATTATATTACAGGGCCAGGGATTTAGCTCAGTGGTTTTGCCACCTGCTGCACAAGTGCAAGGACCCGAGTTCGATCCCCAGTACCCAAAGAAAAAAAATTATATTACAAAGCTATCATAATCAAAATGATATGATACTAGGATAAAAACAGACATGGACACCAATGGAACCCAGTAGAGGATCCAGAAATAAAGCTCAACATACATAGTCAATTAATTTTTGACTAGGACACCAAAAAGGTAGGGAAAGGTCAGGCTTTGCAATAAATAGTGCTGGTAAAGCTGGATATCCATATGCAAAAAAATGAAATTGAACCCTTATATACAAAAGTCAACTCAATGGATTGAAGACTTAAGTATAAGAATCAAAATCATAAAACTCTTAAACGAAAACATGAGAGAAATGCTCCTTGGCATTGATCCTGGCAGTAATTTTTGGATATCACACCAAAAGCTCACATTACAAAAGCAAAAATAAACAAATGGGACTACATCAAACTAAAATCTTCTGCACAGAACAGGAAACAACCAACAAAATGGAAGGGCAGCCTGTGCAAACCAGCTATCTGGCAATAGGTTAGTGTCCAAATATAGGGAAAAATATCACACAACTCAATAGCAAAAAAAAAAAAAACAAGACAAAAAAACCCAAAACAAAAATCAACCAAACAAACAAAAAGTTAAGAAAAGGCAAAGAATCTGGAGAAACATCTGTCCAAAAACAACAGGTATACGAAAGGATGCTTAATGTCATTAACCATAAGAAAAATGCAAATCAAAACCACAATGAGATTTTAACTCACACCTCCTAGGATGGCTATTACCAAAAAGAAAAGAGGTAAGTGTTGGTGAAGGTGTGGAGAGAAACAAACCTTGTCCACTGTTGGTGGGCAAGTGGGTTGGTGCAGCCATTGTGGAAAATGATATGGAAGTTACCAAAGAACTTCCTCTTCCGGGCAAACAGCGAAGGAGAGGAAACCACCACCTCAGAATATTTGCATTTCCATGGTGGTTGCAGCATTGCTCACAATCACAATCGCAGGCTATGGAAACTAAAATCAATAGAAGTGGCCACTGTGAAAGAATGGATGGAGAATAAAAGGGTGGAAACCAGGGTGGGAATGGGGATTAGAGAGCTGGGACGAGATCAGGTGATTTTCCCCAGCAACTGCAGCGCCCGGAAGACTGCATGTTGCCACCCTTCCTATTCCTTGCCCCTCTTGCATCCTCCTCCTTCTCCCCTCCTCCTCTCTCTCCCTCCCCAGCTTGTCTCCATGCTCCAGTCCTTCTGGTCTTTCTGCCTCCCAACAAATGCCAGGGCCTTGTCCAAACTGCTCTTTCTGCTCACACGCTTCCTCCCTCCCCTCCTCTCTCTCCCCACCAGTTCTGGCTCAGACAAACCCTACTTTTCCAGGGGTCAGGCATTTATAGTCACATCTGCAGGAAAACCATTCCTGAGCCCAAGGACGACCCTGGCTCAGAGAGTTGGGGTGACCTGCCCAAGGTCACTCTGCCCTTGTTGTCCGTGAGCACCATGAAGATGTGAGCCATGCCTCACACGCTCAAAACTGTAGCTCCAGCACCCAAATCAAAGCTTAACTCTGCCTCCTCCATGGTCCCAGGCCTCCTAATCCTCCTCATCCCATGGCCCAGGCCTCTGGCAGTCTCACCAGGTCCTCTCCACAGGCACCAGGAGCCATGGCTTCCTGCCAGGCCTCTCCTCCCTGCCCGCCTTCCCATCCTAGTCTGTGCCCACCCCACCACCTCTGGGCCCCTTTCTGATAGGATCCTGGCAATGTCACTCCACTGCTCCCAAGACACCCGGGGCTCCTATTCTCCCAGGATGAAGCTGTATGGGCTCCATGAACAGGTGTCTCATGTCACCTATAGTCTTTTGTTTGCCCCCTGGACACTCTGAGTTCTTTTCACCAGGCTCTGCCCCATCTTGGGGCCTTTTCTTTGCTTATCCCCTTTCTCCAGGAAGTCTCTGCTCCACCTCCACCTTCCCTGCCCAACTCCCGCCCACTGTGGAGGGCTCAGTTTAGAGGCCACCTCTTCTGGGCAGCCTTCCTTGATTCCACCCCATCCCTCTCCAACCTGGAAGAGTGTCCCCTTCGAAGAGGCCACACAGCAAGTGCACTGCTGAGCCAGGACCCTAATCCAGGTTTTCCTGTTCACAAAGCAGCAAACCAAACCAGAACAGGTAATTCCTCATTAGGACAAAGGAAGAAGGAAGTGGAGTTGCTCAGCATCTTGGAAAGATGCTCAAAGTACACATATTAATTGAAAACAGAAATCTGTAGAGCAATGTGCACAGCATAATTCTATGGGGTGGGGACTCAACAGATCACATATGTTTGTGTAGGTTTTAAAGCACAGAACAAACCCGAAACAAACGCACTCTGAGGCGCAGACAGTCATTGGGTTTGGGTTTGAACATTCTGTAAGGTCTAAATTCACTGTGGATTCTGTCCTCAAAACATGACTCACAACTCTTCTCCAGGGGTAAGTAGAAGGCTGGGCCTCTCAGGGATCGTAACAGACAGGGGTGAATTCAGCACCCCCACCCCACCAGTGGTGACAGTGGGAGCCAGTACGGTTGGTGGGAGGCCACACTCACCTTTCCCAGCAGCTCAGGCAGGCCCAGCAGCTGCCCTGTGAACACGCCCACACAGATGAAGATGGCAGTCACCTGCCCCAGGGAGCCGCGGATCTCCTTGGGCGAGATCTCCTTGAGGTACATGGGGAGCACACTGAGGGCAATGCCTGGGGAGGAAGTGAGCAGCAGTGAGAGAGAAGTCTTCCGGGGGACAGGCGCTCAGGGCCTGCACCAGCCTTGCTTCTGCTTTACTCTTGACAAGAAATGCCACTGGACCCTCAGCCTCACTCCTGGCATACACACAACTTGTGTAGCTTTCACTCCCATTTATTGTCTCACCCATAAAGTGTGGCTTGAGGCCAACTGCATGGAAGAGGACACAGATGATGGTGGTGGTAGAGGTGGTAATGATGACAGTGATGATGGCTGTCATGGAGAATGTGGTAGTCATGGTGATGGCAGTGATGATGATGGTGATGATGGTGAAGGTGGAGGTGTTAGCAGTGGTGGTGATAATAATCATCATAACCGACACACAGAGTCCTTACCAAGTAGCAGGGCTAAGTCCTACTTTACATATATTAATTTGCTTGCTTTTCACAATAACTTTCTGAAGCAAATGTGCTATTATTATCTCCATTCTAAAGATGAGGAGCCTGGGGCACAGAGAGCTTGAGCAACTTGCCTAAATCACCAAGAGGCTCTTTTGCCCAAGTGAGTTCTAGTAGCTTCCTGGAACCTGAGCTTTCCCCCAGCTGACGTTTTCTAAGGAGGGACTCAGTTATCACACAGATCCATTTTCCAGCATGGGTCAGTCACATGTGACCTCCTTAACTCTGAGATAAACCGGCACATTCAGGGGTTTATTAGGCACAGTGCACATGAAGCAATAGTTAGAACGCGGTCTTACAAAATACTCGCTGCACACACTTGGCAGTGTGGAGAAGCCCTGTGTCACCTTATACCTGGGAGGCGGATCTGAAAGTCACCCTAATCCCAGGAGGTTAGAGCCCAGACTGCAGCTCTGCATTGCACGACCTCATGAGTCGCAGCCCAGTAACGCGCAAGCTGTGGGGCCTTGAGTGGGGCTGTTAGCTTCTCCCAGCCTCAGTTTCTCTGTCTTCAGGATAGGAATAAGAACTGAGCCTCACTTCATGGAATTTCTGTGGGAGTCATGATATGCTCAGCACCTTCTCAGGGCAAAATCCTGCACACATTGAGATGATCAGCACTTAGTACTCTTCACTGCTTTTTCACCAGACTGTGAAGGATCAGACGACTCTCTCCTGAATGGCTTCCTGTTGCCTCCACCACAGCTCCACACAGCAGGCACGGGTCACTGTGCTCTGTGCTGAGCTGAATTTTCCCCAATTACCAGCACCCAGGGAGGCCCTTCTGCAAAGAAACCCAGCAAAGGAAATGCGGGACCCAGTTTACAAAAAGAATCCCATCCATTGCATCTTAGTCCAGGGTTCTGCTCTGGGTTCATGATGTAAACATGCTTAAGAGGCAAAGACATAGAAATTATTTGCAAAGTCACAATGTAAGCCAAATGATATTTGAATTTTTATCCAAAACATGGATACTAGGAGTGCCTGCTTCATGAAAAAAATGGTTCATTGGCTTAATTTAGCTCATTGGTGCTTAGCAGGCTGGGCAATAGAGGAAAACATATGTGGCAGTGGATTCAGGTCCCAGAGCGGTAGTTTCCTCATGGAGGGACTGGATCACATTGCTGACCCTCTCTGAACTTCAGCTTACTCCGGCACTGCTGCCCATTCCTGCTGTGGGGGATGAAATGACATGGCAGGCCCCTGGCTCACAGGTGGGCGCCCAGTAAACATCTAAAAGTCTGTCAGCTTCTTTATCCCAACGATCCTCCTACCACTGGGAGAGTGTTCATCATCTCGACGAAAGCAGTGAGGAACGACAGGACAGGTTAGAAGCGGCAAGCGTCATGGCGGAAGATGTTCTTGCTGATTTCTCCAGCTCATTGGTAAAGTGGGTACAGTGATGTCATCGCCTTTGAATGAGGCTGGGGACTGAATACGTGCAGGGTGCTTAGCTGAGTACCACATATATTAAGCTGTCAATACCCGGTGACTGCTATTCCTCACCAATTGCAAAATACATGGGGAGAAAAGAGTACAGTGGCTAAACCAGTGGGAAAGAAGGAGGTGGACTTAAGGCAGCTTGGCTGCCAACTCATCCCAGTTAGTCTGGTACCATCCATCCCAGGAACCTCTCAGTTCTGGACACAACAGAACGACTAGCCATTCTGGGCCCAGCACATGGCACCAGGCAACTGCACACCTAAACAGCCTTTGCTGGCTGCTGACATCGTCCGCCCTGAGTGTCTGAGCCTTGCCATTTGCTGAGCACATGCTGCGGTCCTTCCATCCTAGGAAACCAGCCTTGGCTCTTCTGTTGTGTGGAACCCTCTGCTCCCAGAGTTTGATGATGGCCCCTTCTTGTCCTTCCTGTGTCAATCCACTGTCTCCTTTTATAGTGCGTTCACTGGAGTCCACCCAAAACATATGTTGGAAAAGTAATATTAACTCCTGTAATATGATCTTACTTAAAAAAAAGGTCTTTATAGAGGTGTTCAAGTTAGAATGAGATAATAAGGAATGAAGGTGGGCCCAAAGTACAGTGCAAAGCTTTCCAGTGGGAAGGTCACCAGAAGACAGACAGAACCAAGAAGAGGACAGCCAGCTGAGGATGGAAAGAAACAAGAGGAGGAAGGGCTGTGAAGATGGAGACATAGGAGGAGGAAGGACATTTAGAAATCAAGAGAGGGGTTAATGTGGGCCAGAAACAAGCCATTGAACCCCAATTTGGGTTCTCAGCCCTAGGGGCTGTGGAGAGACCTGGAACAGTGTTTCCATCAGAGCCTCAAGAAGGAACCAACCCTGCTGATACCTTGTTCTTGGTTTCTTGCCTCAGAAACGGTGAAAGCACACATTAGAATATTTCTGTTGTAATCTATTCAATTTGGGTGCTTTCTTCCAGCCGCCACAGGACACTAACTCCTCCCCACCAATGCCTTTCCTGACCATGGTACAGAAATGAGCCCTTCCCAGCACTCTGCATCTTCATCTCATCTTGGGCTCCTTGTGTCACCAGAAAGTACCATCCTCCCTGCTTATCTGTGGATGTCCCTTTCAAGCCCCTGTGGATGCTGGGAACCATGGTTAGAACAGAACACTAGTGTAGATTTCGTTCTCTACCTACAAACCTCTAATAAACGGGGCATAATAAGAGATCAACAAATACTAATGATAAAATAGAAAATTACAACCATATATTATAATAAAAGTTATTTAAAACTTGTGAATTATTTCTGCAGTTTCCCACTTAATAGTACTGGCATGGATTTACACCTTGGGGGCATGGGCTGCCACAGGATGACCACAATACAGACATGTCCAGCACAGCCTCCTGCCTGTCCAAAGCTCCTCTGCATGCATATTTTGACCTTGTAATCTATATGAATCTGCTTCCAGTGCCATGCTATGTTTGTTTCCATGTAAAAAAATATTAATTTTGTTCTTATTTAAGATTTCTAGAAGAAGTCTATTATTACAGGAAGCTATCATATGTGTTATGGTTTAGATCTAAAATATCCCCCTATAGTCTAAGGTTCAGAGGTGGGCCTGGTTGGAAGAGATTTGTCACTATGGGTGTGACTTGAAAGAGTGTACTCGCTTCCCCTGATCCTCCCTTCTCTCTCTGCTTCCTGACTACCATGAGATGAGCAATTTCTCATCCATTATGCTGTTTCTGCCTTGCAGCCAGCCTACCATGGACTGAACCCACTGAAAACGTGAGCCAAAATAAATCTGTCCTCCCTTAAATTGCAAGAACTGGGTATTTTTGTTCCAGTGATTCAAAGCTAATTGATACACTATGTTTTGACTCTGGTTCCAAATACTCCATTGGAAGAGGATCAATTAGCAAATCTTAGAATTTTCCCCTTTCTGGAATCCTCCAGGATCATTGCTTTCCTTTAAATAATTTATTAAAAGCACACAACCAATCCCACTCATGACCAGTTTCCCATTCTTTCTGACCAATGACTTTAGCTTAAATGACCTCAATTCCCTGTCTTGGAGAGGTTTAGTGAGAATAAATGGCATGAAGTCCTACATCCTGGCCCCGCTAGAGTAGGCCAGAAGTCAGGAGTCTGGATCTTGCTTCCCTCTTCTTTCTTTTTTCCTGCTTCACTCTGAGTAGCTCATAAGAACAAGATCTAAATGATATTTCTTTTGAATCTGTGATTTTATAAAAGTAGCATCTGTCTTGAATGCAGCTTATTTTAGTTAAGGAAATGCAGAAAGGAACTAGTATGTGTAATAACTGTCACCTCCTCCAAATTAGGGAGACAATCGAAGCAACAGGAAAGGAGCTAAACTGATAAAATACAAAACTGGCACACAGGGGGTTGGGAGGCTCTGCTGCCTCTATGAGGCAGAGCCTTTCAATGTTCTGTTGCTTGATCTCACCCATCGGAGTCACTGGAACTAGATTATCTGGGTCCAGATCCTGGATCTTCCCTTGTGAGCTGAGAATAAAAATAATGACTGGCCGGGGATTTAGCTCAGTGGTGCTGCCGCCTGCCTCAAAAGTGCAAGATCCTGAGTTGGATCCTTGGTACCAAACAAAAAGAGTCTGCACAAAAATAATGGCAAAAGCAATCATGACACCAATACCACCACCACTATGCAGGGTGAAGGAGGGTAGGGGCCAGGTGCAGGGATGGACTAAGAACTTCACACCTGAAGTGGATCATTTTATTTTCACATCGCTAGCCTGGAAGGCCACCGTCACCTTCCTCTGCAGGATGAGGAAGATGGTCAGACCACAGGGAAGGCTGTGTCTCCCCCATCTGCTCGGTCTCCTTGCATCCATAACCCTGGGCAGTCACTGGCTCTGCACCTGCCACGGGACCAGGTTTGGCCAAAGGGACACTAGCAAATGTGCTTGCATTGGGACTTTCTCCAGCTGTGCTTTGTCCCCTCAGAGCTCCATGTGATGAGCGTGGGCTGCCTTGTTCAGAGGGTGACGGCCCTGGAGGGGCAGAGATGGACTGGTCCTACCGCAGTCTCTAGAGAACAACCTGCCTGCCAACAAGCATGCTCTCAAGTGTGCCACTTGGAGTCACCTGGCCACTGTGGACAGGGAGACACAAGAGAGGGCCCAGTGCTCCTCAGCAGAGCTGGCTCTGAGCAGAACTGCATGGCAGCCATGGAACTGGAAGCTCAGTGAGCGGTTAATGCTTCAAGTCATTAAGTTTTGCTTTGTTTTTTACTTTCTTCTATGCAGAAAAACCTAACCAATATAGCTAAGTTAATGAAATTTACACAGACAGAACCCCAGTAGGCTGAATCCACAACCCTTTCCCTGAACCCCTTTACTATCCTATCTTTCTGAGCCCTGGTACCCTAACATGGAAGAAGAAGATGAAATAAGAAGTATTAGTCACTTTCCCTTCGCTGGGACAAAATACTTGACTCAAAGTGAAAATTAGGAAGAAATGTTTATTCTGGCTCGTGATTTCAGAGGATTCAGTTCACGGTCAGCTGACTCCAAGGCAGAATGGCATAGTAGGAGGGTCTGGGAGAGGAGAGCTGTTTTCCTCATAGCAGTAAGGAAGCAGAGAGAGAAGGGAGGAGCTGAGGACAAGAACATACCCTTCCAGGTCACCACAGTGACCCACCCCCAGCCAGCCCCACAATCTGACAGCACATTTCACTATGAACTCATCAGTTGATGAATCCACCGATGTGTATAGCACCCTATGATCCAATCTCCTTCCAGAAGCCTCAGCTCTGAACACATGAGACTTTTGGGGGACAGTCTAGATCTAAATCGTAACAGAGGAGGTCAAAGGATCATCTCATGGGACCACCCCGCTTCACGAATATGCTAGAGTCCTTGGTCCCTGACAACTCAGTCTCACTTCGGGGCTCCAGTGTGTGACACCCCTAAACACTTCCAGACAGTCCCAGAGCTGTGTTGCCACCAGGGTGAAGTCTCACCTCCATCCACGCCCATAACGAAGCGCCCCACGATGAGCATCTCAAAGGCACCTGCCTGGAAAGAACAGGCCATCAGCAACGCAGCGGAAATCGCAAAGCCGTTGTTGACCAGCAGCGTGTGCTTCCTGGAAGGAAAAGAAGGACTCCGTGAGGACACCCCACAGCGAGGCATGTCACTGACCTGTCCGTCTCAGGCCATCAGGAAGCTGGGCAGAGCAAGGCGCAGGCACCAGGGGAAAGGCCCAGGCCTGCATCCAGTCCCTGCTGCCACCTTTGGCTATGTGACCTGGCATGGCACCTCCTCCCTCTGGGCTCACCATGGGGTCAACGAGGCCACTTCCGAAGGGGCCCTCAGCCCTGGCATCTATGAATTCCCTGTTGCAGTATCAGACTTATTTCCAAGACTTTCATTTAAGCTCTCTGAAAACCAAGGACATCTTATGATGCATAAGTCAGGGTCCAGGCAGGAACAGGAATCCCCTCTGGCTACTTTCATGCACGGAGAGAATTTAATATAGGGAGTTTGTCAAGCAGCGATCAAAGGACTGAGCTGCTCAAATGAAGGACTTCTGAAAGTGGATGCTGCCCGTGTGGTGCTGATAACTTGGGAGGCTTGGAAGGGGGCTCTGAAAGCTGGCTCAGAGCATTGAGTGTCTCCTCTGAGAGGCACCGTGAATCTAGTCCTGGGGTCAGGACAGAAGCTAGAAGCTGGAATCGATTGGCAAAGTCATTGCTGGGAGTGGCAGGAAATTCAGGCCCCCAAACTGGGCAGGTCCTTTCTTCTTTCCCCAATGCTCTCATTGGCAAAGGACACATGGGATGGGGTGGGGGAAGGTCCCAGCTTCCACAGGGAAAGCGAAACGTAGACGGTAAGTACGGAGTTGGGAGAGTGACTTGATGGCCTTAGCCACCTACAGCTTGAGTTGACGCCTTCCTCCCTCCTCCCTTTCTTCCATCGTCGACCTCTCTCTTTCTCTTTCTCTGTCTCAGGGTTCATAAAATAACAATACTTCTTACACCCCATGGCATCTTGGATTTGATGAACTACAGTCCTAAATATAAGGCTGGACTAGTTCCCTCAGACAAGGCTGGGCCAATTCCCATGGGAAGCATTATTATTAGCTGCCGGTGTGTTCGAATGACTACTCTGTTATGAACATATCCCGAGGACCTCACTGTTTCGATGCGTGACTCATTCAGAGGCCTGGATTCCTGCAGCAGCTCTGTTTCAGGAGTCAGGAGACTCTGTAGTCCTTTGTTTTCATTTTCTCACTTGCCAAATGATTGCTAGCTCATTGTTGAACTATCACTAGATGACACTTTGAAGGGCAATCCTTACCACAGCCCAGGGAGGTAGGCATGCTTCTTATCCCCATTTAATGGATGAGTTAACTAGGATGCTGGCAAATGAGAACTTGTTCTCAGTCACAATGTTTGAGTCAAGGAGCTGGGGGAACATCGTAGCCTCTAGCAGCTTATTTTTCTCCTTAAAGACTCAATGAGGTGACAGCTATCGAATTGCTTTGTGGGCTGTGAGAAGCAAGAGGCTTCAAAGGGAACTCACGGTTACTTCTAGGAGTTAGAGCTCTTGGATTCCAGGCCAGAGCCATATCCACTAGGTCTGACTTGCTCAAACTTTCCATTACATTTTCTCCCCTTTCTACAGCTATTGGAGAATCCTATAGTCTCTGATGTTTGCAGCTTAAGGAATATGGTGCCAAGACTGCTTACAACAACATCCACTGCAATAACAGGTGGGCAAAACATCTATGTGTCCGCTAACACAGGACTACTGAAATAAATCAGGATGTGCCCGTGTGTGGAGCACTGTGCAGGCATTGAACTGAAGAAGGTGGCTCTGTTCTGATGTAGAAAGATAGTCAGTATACTGATAAGAGAAAAGTGCAGAACTTTTGTAAAATATGCAATAATTTGTAGGAAGAAAAGTGTGTGTGTGTGTGTGTGTGTGTGTAGGTGTGTGGCACAACTTGTGGAAAAGACACACAAATTGGTAACACTGAGTGCCTCCGAGGAAGAGATCTGACAGGCTGGAAGACTGAAATGAAAAGTGAACCCTTAACTCTACATCCTTTTGGTCTTTTTAAAAGTGAAGCCACTTGGATGTATCAATCATTCAAAAACTACACTTTCACTTTTTGAAAATGAAATCAAATGGAGCTCAATGAGGAAAAACACATTATGCCTTAGCAGATACTTAAAAATTCTACTCAAGACCGGCCACCCTCATTCTGCTGGGAAAAGTCAGACACTGGTTTCATAAGAGGAGCCTGGAGGTGCGAGTTTCTGCCTCTGGTGAAACCTGGAATTCTGACAACAGCCCGCAGCGGGGCTGCTTAGCTCTCTCGGGCTTTCCCATGGTCCTTCAGGAGCCCAGGGCAGCCTGATGCAGCTGCAGGCAATGGCTGAAGAGGAGAAGCAGAGGAGACTTGGAGCCAGCAGCCTGAGCTAATGGCATCTCCACAGCCTCTCCTCGGGTTCCCACTCAGAAGGGAACCAGGTATGCCAGGGTGAGGGAGGGAATGGCTTCGGTCTATTAGGGACACAGTTGCCAAATGAATTGTCACACAAAAGCCAATAAAAAGCTAAAATTAGAAATTCTAGTCAATTCAGCTATTCTTTTAGGTATCTTCCAAAAAGAGTTGAAGACATCAGATCACAGTGATGCATGCATATCCACGTTTACGGAAGTGCAATTCAAATAGCTAAGTCTTGCAAGTGGACAATTTGTCTGCCAACAGATGAAGAAAATGTGGTATTTACACATAATGGAGTACTACTCTGCCATAAAAAGGATAAATATGAGTCATTTGTAGGAAAATGGTTGCGCCTTGTGATCATAATGTTAAGTGAAATACGTCAGACCCAGGAGCTTAATGTTATGTGGCTTATCTTATATGCAAAACCCAAAGTGTAAATAAAGAGCAAAATAAAGGATAGATAATAAGAGACAGGGAGAGATCTTTTGCAAATAGGAAGAGGACCAAGAGGTAGAGGGCAGGGAAGGGGATGTCAAAAGCACGAAGATGAGCCATGTACATGTCGACTCCCCACGATGAACGTGATCACGGCCTGAAAACATGCTAATGAAAATAACATTTTAAAAAGTAGATCTTTACTGGATAGGCAGTGGGAAGTAAGGAGCTGGACTGGAAATGAAAACCAACCCCTCCTGCCGCTGCCCTACTACAGTTACACTGGCCGTTTGACACTGGATAACACGGATGGTAATCAGAAGAGTAATCGGCCTCTCTGAGCAGCTCTCAAGCCTGGCGGCGCATGGGTGTCAGCAACAGCACTTAAAGCACAGTCCTGTGTCGCCCGACGGCACGCACGGCTAGGCAACTTCACCGTGAGGGCACTGCGGAGCGTGAGGTCATCTCAGGGGCCGCCTGGCTGCGGGCCAAACCATCCTTACCCAGTGGTTGGCTGTGACCGTCTCAGCTCGGTCACTGACGAATCCCACTGCACAGGGCGGGCTCTGCTACAGTACCAGGAATCCCTTGGAGCTCCGCTTCCACTCCTGCCTGCTGTCACCTGCTGTCCACAGAGCAGCCAAGTGTCCTTCAAAGCACACCCTGAGGTCCACTCCCCTGTGTAAACCCAGTGGCTTCTCTAACAAGCTCTGTGTGAGAGGTCTTTGTCACCACAGTTGTCTGTCACTCGTCCTCGCGCGTACTGCTCCGATCTCAAGAGCCTGCTGCTCCCCATCCCTGGTGCTTGTCCTTGCTCTCTCCTCGCTCTGCTGCTGTCCCCGCTGGTTGTCACAGGACTGGCTGATCTCATTAGTCCTGGCTCATCCATCACCTCCCGACACTGAAAGAGCTCGTCCCAGCTGCAGCCTTGCCCTCAATCCTGCCACTGCTTGTTTCCTGGGTATCCTCAGCACCAGAAGAGATTGTCCTTTGTATCTTTTTGTTTTTGTGTTTGTTGTCTGTTTTCTGCTACTGACATGTAAGCTCCACAGGGCTGGAGAGTTTTTACTGTCACGGTAGCTCAAGCAACTCAACTGGTTCCGAGCCCATGTGAGAGCCCCACACACACTAAATCCCTGAGGCAGGATGTGAGGACCGAGGCTTCCTCCCTTTTGCCTGGCTCTGGTCTGTCCCATGCATGTGGACAGCACATGTGGCGCTCTGCTTGGACAGCCCCACCATGTGCCTCGAGTTCCTCATTTGTAAATGTATACCAATGCCTGTCTTGTAAGGGACCTCACAATTAGCTAATGCATGTAACTTTCTTAGGGTGGCACCTGTTAGCTCGTTTGGATCCTCAAGCAATGAAAAAATAAGTGAAAACAATGGTGAGAGCTGGCAAAGTTCACTTGTGGGGCACTTGGTTCTAAGCACTTTATGCTCATTGTACAAAGTTACCTCGTTTCACACGCAAGGAAACAGGTCGGGAAGCAGCATCGTCAAGGTCGCAGTACGAAACAGAAGAGCTACCATTCTAGTAAACAGGATTCTAAGCCACTTGACTCAAGTCATTCATTCTTCCAACAATCATTCATTCATTCATTCATTCAGTAACATCCATTGCTTTGGCACACATTTGGACTGGGTGCTGAACACTATTTTAGCTTCTGGCCTCTAGGAATAAACACAACAAAGTGCCTGCTCTCATGCTCTTCTCAACAAACAAGTTTTGTATTTTAAGTAGCATTTTAGATAGTGATGGGTGCTATAAAGATAACTAAAGCAGAAAGGGAGGTGTCGTTTTGCACAGGGTGTGCCAGGAGGTTTCCCTCAGAAGGTGACGGCTGAACGGTGACATAAAATCAGAGTAAAGAAGCCACATGGACATCTGGGAGCAGCACTCTGGGCAGAGGTATGAAAAGCCGGGCTTGGCCTATCCCAGGAACAGCAGTGTGGCCAGCATGGCTGGAGGCAGTGCAGGGCCACAGAGCGGGTGACAGAAAGTGACAGGAGGAGCGGAGTGGCTGAGGAGCTCCTCAAGGTCCTCTATGCCACCAGGAGCACTGGTATTTCCACCCGGGGGAGGTGGGCAGCCCCGAGAAGTTTCTAAGGAGAGGAATGGCATGGCCTGATGTATACTGTAACAGGACCACCCGACTTCTGGGTGGCTCAAGGACAGGAGGAGCAGATGAGGAAATGTGGAGGCCCACTCAGGGAGCCACTGCAAGAGTTAAGGCGAACCCTGATGTGATTGTTAATTGTGGTCTTTCAATTTGAGTGGATTGGGAAATGCCTAGTGTGTGGATAATTGACATGTAGGCTACAAACTGAGGAGGGAAGACCCGACCTGGATGCAGCTGTGGCGACCAATAGGCTTGGAGCCTGGGTGGAACACAAAGGGAAAGAAGCAGGAAGTCTCGCCCTTTGCTTCTTCTGACTTTTTCCATCACCTTTGGACATCATCACCTGTTCATTCAAGCTTCCAGCAGAGACACTTCATCCTTCCAGTGAAGACACAGAAGCTTTCCAACACGGACTCGCATGGGCTCTGCATTGAGCTCCAGGCCTTTGACCTGGCTTTTCTGGCTCTCCAGAGAGCAGCTGGCCATTTTCCATTCCCCCACCCCTGACTTCACAGGTGCCCATTGTAAGCCTACTTAGTAAACCCTTCTTATAATCATATTTAGATATATTTTATATTCAATTTGTTCCTCTAGTGAACCTTAACTGATACAGCTGATGATCTGGACCAAGGTAGCATCAATGGAAGTAATGACAAGTGGTAAGATCCTGGATCATCTCGAAGTCAGGATAACCAGGATTTGCTGAAGGACTGGACAGGTGGATAGAGCCAAGGTTGCTTCCCAAGGCTTTGGTCCAGTCTCTTGCATTGAACATGATGGCTTGTTTTGTGCTAGGCAGGGAATGTTACAGTTGCATAAAAGTCTGACTTGAAGCATTTGCAAGTAGGACTGCACAACTCTAAGAAATTTCATCACTTTAATATATTTCTTCCCAAAATAACTCCCAGCCTGGTAACATCCCAGTGAGAACAGAAACCTTGTTTGTAAATAATTTGCAAAGCTGACGCACTGGCATGCAGTGAGGGGGACTTTAATCATTGTGTTTCCATTTCTCCCAAGGATGAACACAGGAAAGGAAACAAGGAGATCAGTTCAGGGAGCAGAACTCCAGTGCCCTCAGAACTCCATCCAGGGTGCCTGCTTCATTGTTCTGAGCTTCTCTAATAGCGTAGAATCTTTCCTGTGCGAGCCCGAAGGTTATCAGCCCAGGCAGAAAGGGAGGGTGACAGGATGAGGAAGACGCTGGAGAAATGTCAGAGAGCCTGGGGACACTACGCCTGGACAAGAGGTCAGAGAAAGCCCGGGGGCCACCTTCCATGGTGTCATACTTCACTTGATCCCCAGGACCAGAATCAACTGGCGAGAGACACAGGGGATACTGTTTCAGTTTGAACTTGGAAAATACCTTTCACTAAGCCCTAGCGTTGTAAGAATCCTGCAGGCACTGGCTGCCTCCACATACCTTCTAGCAATTCTTTACCTCCACTAGGCCTACAGGTCACGGTCAGGCCCTGTTTCCACATCTGTTACCCAACGTGCGTCCATCCATTCCTGCTTCCCTGGCTTGAATTCCATAGTCCTTCACTTCATTATCCATGCCTCGCAGGGCCCCACCGGGGGAAATGTCTGGGGAAATGAAAGTGCTCAGACCTCTGTCTCTGTCCCCCAGCTCTGTGATGTCAGCTACCAGGAGCCCCAGATGCTCCTCCTCCAGACTGACATTGGCCCAGAAGTTCAATCCCTGATGCCAGGGCAGCCTGTAGCCAATGGCAGACCAGAGATGGGATATTTCAAGAGGGGTAACCTTGTGGGGTGACTTTTGCCCCAGAACCTCCCCTGGGTTGGACAAGGCTAACCTTGACCTGAGAGCACAGCCCTGCTGGCTCCTTCCCCTGCCTCTTCTGCTTCCCTCACCTTACAGGCTTCTCCTGAAGTGCCTCCCCTCAGCAAAGCTCATGTACCCCATCCCCTACCTCAGGCTCCGCTTTTAGAGAGCTGACCTTCTGAGACAGTTCCGCCTGAAAGAACAGATTGCCAGGAGCACAGGACATATGCTACAATAGGGACTTAATCACATCCTCCAAAGTTCATGTGTGTGCTGGTCACTTTGCTCACTGCTGGGACAAACAACCAACACCCATAACTTAAAGAGAGGTTTATTTGGCCACAGTTCCCCTCCATAGTTGGCTGGCTCCCAGGCAGAGCAGCGTGGTGGAAAGGTCTGGGTAGAGGAGAGCTGCTCATGTCGTGGCAGCCAGGAAGCAGAGAGCAAAGGGAGCCTCCGGAAAGGGAGATAAACACTTCCAGGTCATGCCCCCCGTGGCCCGCCTTTTCCCGCCAGACCCCACCTCTGTAGAGGTGGTCAGCTATGAGTCCCCATAATCCAATTGGCTTCCAAAAGCCCTGCCAATGAGCACTTTCTCAAGACAATGTCAAAGCTTCAACCCCCATGAGACTGCGTTTGGAGCCTGGCTCTTTCAGGATGTAATTAAAGTTAAATGAGATCCTCAGAGTGGGGCCCTAATTCAATATGACTGTGGTCCTTTTAAGAAGAGGAGACACCAGGGATTTGCACACACAGAGGAAAGACCATATGGGGATACAGCAATAAGTGGCTGCCACCTTGACTTTGGACTCCCATCTTCCAGAACAATGAATGACACATGCCTGTTGTTCACTCCCCCATATATAGTGTTCCATTGTGGCAGCTCGAACAGACTAAGACATGCTTGCCACGGGCACTGTACTCCTGCAGCAGTCATCTGCAGAGCTAAAGTGATTCCCTACTGCAATAAAGTAAAGACACATTCTAAAGGAAGCTTGAAGTAGAAAAAGATGAGAAAAACAGAACGTTTGAGAACCTGCTATTTTCCTGGAGTACAGGATGGGATGCCTGGCTTGCTCAATATTCATCCTTTTTTGGGGGCCAGCCCTTCCAATCTCCTCTGGGAAGACTTCTGGCCTGTACTCTGGGCCAGGGCTGGCGGTGTTCACATCTCTGCCCACTGTGGCTCCAGGAATGGACACATGATACAGGCCTCACAGCCACTGGGCATCCTAGCGTGTTAGAATGTCATTTGTCAGGGTTTGTGAAACAGCGCTGTTAACATCAGGCGCTTGAAAATTCTTTGCTGTAGGGCTGTCCTGTTCATTGCAGTGTATTTCACAGCATTCCTGACCTCTCCTAGATGCCAGCGGCACCCAGTCCCGACAACCAGAAATGTCCCCTGATGCAGTGATATTGACCTGGTTGAGAACCCCAGAAAGCATGAAACTTCACTCAGGTCAATGAGATTCATCTGGAAGAAGAGGGCCTTCTGCCGGGCCACCCTGACCCTCCGTGGGAGAGACTGGCTGGGTACAAGGCCAACCCAGAGAAAGGCAGAGCCGAGAGATGGAGGAAAGAGATGGATCTGATTACTTTTGGTATCATCTGAGACACTGGATTCAGCCACGTTGTATTTCAGTTATGTTAGCCAATTAATTCCCTTTGGGGCTTAAGCCAGTTTGTTTTGGATTCCTGCCTCAGGCATTCAGAAAGCCTCCTGGGTGACGTGAGACACTATAAATTTGATCTCATTCAACTATCATCGCTGCTCGCGCAGGTGGGGTTTGCTTATCTGCACTTTACAGGTTTAAGGATCACGCCGGCTGCCTCTTCTTGCATCTCTGCTCCCATTCACATCAAGAACCGAGATGACCTGCATAATGAGTTGCTCCCCTGCCCAAGCCCTGGAACCAGGCTGTCTCTTTTTCGTGAAGGCCAAGTGCCAAAACAGTGCCCCATCCTGGCACTGCTCACTCATGCAGGTTGCCCAGATGAAGGTGCCTGCGTGGCCTGTCAAGAAGTTGAAATCTGACCCGGGATCTGACTTCAAAGCTCGTGCGAGTTTTCTTCTGGCTTCTTCCTCTGCTTTGCTCCACAGGGAAGACGTAGATCCAGGGATAGGGGTAAGGAGGAGAGTTCAGGTGCACTTTAAAGAACAGCGGTATGATCCTCTCTGTGGTGTGATGAAATGACCCAGCTCAGGCAGAGCCGTTGATGAGGGTGACGGTGTCCCTAGCAAACAGTTGGGCTGTGACTCGATGTCCATTAGAGGGATGAGCCCTTTATCTCCTTATCTCGTTCAACCTTGACAGCAACCCTCTACAGGGTGTTCCTGTACCTTCATGTCACTGTGAACCAACTGCAGCTTAGCGAGCTCAAGTAACTCATATGCAGCCCCACAAGCTGTGAGCTCTGAGCCCAGACTTGGAGCTGAGCCTGTGGCCAGTGTCCCCGCCTAAACACAGTCACTGTCCTGGCTCATTCGGGAAGGCGGTTCTGTCACTACAGCCATGCAAGCAGAAGGCAGATGACCCCAGAAGGGGGCCTGGGATTCCACCAGAATTCTGGATGGCTGAATTCCCCAGCAGGGTCTTGAGGAGCCAGGGAACTTGCAGCCCTGAGACCTGGGGAAGATGATGTGGCTCACTTGCTGAGACTGTGCCTGGCTCCCTGCATTTCCTGCACCCAGTTTCCTTCCAAGTAACAGAGGAGTCCACCATGCCAGGAACCTTCCTACTGGTGCAGCTGCCAGTAACCAGCCCACCTGAATGCTGAGAACCCAGTTCTAATTTCCGCCCTAGCCACATGCTTGAGCACCTTCTCACGGACAACACAAGCTGCTGCTGTACCTTCCCCAGCCTTCCACCATGAGCCCAGCTTCCCCTGCCTCCCTGACAATGCCCACCCATGGCCAAGGACTAAGAGAAATGGAGAAGGTCATTCAAATAGCCCCTCATCAGAGGAAAGGCATTGGCCTGTGGTCAAACAGAGCTGGGCCGGAATTCCAATTCAACCTCACTCTTTGCAATAAGGTAAATTGTTCAACCTTCCAGGCTCTCACATTCACCATTTATAAAGCAAGGATAAAAACCCAAACAGGGTTTGAAGAAGCAAGCGATTTACTGTATGTCAAGCACTGGTATGGATCAGAAGGTGAATAAATGGTAGCTTTCTTTTTTTATTTTTGTGCTTTTGCTCTCAGCAGAGTTATTATTTAGGCTGAAACATCAAACCAACTCAATTTTCCCTCCTGTAATGATGAAGACAGGAACTGGCAGCTGCTTGGGGCACAATAACCAGCAGCTTTTGATCTGATCTCTTGGCAGCCCCACATCTCTGGCCCCACTGGCTTGTTGGGAGGATTCCACCATCACTTAGAAATTTGAGATATTTTCAAACATGTTTTCTCTTTTGCTTTCTCATTGCTGTTTTGGTGCCATGCTGTTGGAGCTGGTAATGCTACTTTCAGTGACCTCATTTTACACACAAGAAAAATCCTGGCTGAGCAATGAGAACAACGTTTCACAGCACACAGCTGGTGTGTGTGGGAGTGGGATCTGCTGGGTCGCAGCATTCAGCCACTGTTCCTTTCTCTATTCCATCTGAGTAGCTTCAGGTGCTGCCTAAGAGACATCCTCAGTGCAGAAGTGCCGTGGCCATACACAGGGCAGGGAGACATCACCATCTACAGAGCCTGGGCAGGGCTGAGTCTAACCAGTATAGGCAGGAGGACAGTGGACTGGCTCTGCCATCCATGGGCCAGAGGCTTAGGGACAGCACCTCAGTGCTCCTGGCCAGTGGCACCAGTCTGGTGCCAGACAGTCACATGCCTGTTACCCAACAGTCATGGCCTCTACAGAACCGTTGCCAGCAGGACCATAATAAGACGTTTCTTAGTACCATGGCGGGATCATAGTGCTGAGACCACACCATGTGTGGACTCCAGCCTGAGCTCATCCACACGTGTTAGCACTTAGCACAGACACCCTAAACTCTCTGACACCCCTCCTCACTTCCCGACCCCACAACACAGCAAGTTAAGCAGGAGCATGGGTATGTCCACCTGGAACATGGGAAGACCTCAGAATATGGCATCTCTCACTACATTAGGTAATAGCTGTACCTCCTTGACACTAACTTCCCAGTAATTGCGCTCTGGACATGGCCTTGGGGACAAGGAAGTGCCAATGCCTCTCCTAGACCCTGGGTACCACAGAGCTTAGTGAGCACCACATGGATGTTTCCAAGGTGGCGTCCTGTCCCAGCATTGGGAAAGCCACCCCTAGAAATTCATTTTTCTAAATTGCTCTTTCCTGGGGGCAAGAGGTGGTGTGGAAAGGAATGGGTAGGAGCCTTCTTAGTAGTATTTCTGTAGCCTCTGGGTCTGGAGAGATTTTCTAGGCTGATGAATCTCTGCTCACGCTGATGTAATATGGGGGTCTGTTGAGCAGTTACCACATGTGGATGTCAAGGTGACAATGAGGAAGGCCATATATAATAAGAGTCCCCACTTATTGAGCTACTACTAATGACTTTCTTTCTCCACTCAATTTGTCTAGGACTTACAACATTCCCTGCAGGTAGGAAATATCCTCCCTATTTTATAGATAAGGAAACTGAGATTCAAATAAATCAGTGACTTCGCCAAGGCTATCTAGCTGGCAAGTAGAAGACTCCTGATGCAAGTTCACAAAACTACTCTCCACACATACCTCTGTAGTTCCTACAAAGTTAGCAGCAAGTATAGAGAGAAAACAGTGTTTGGAGGAATTTATTATTAAATAAGTCTGTTGTAAGAGAAGGCTTCATACCAAAAATAAGTCAGGGTGCCAGGGATTTAGCTCAGTGGTTCCTGCGCCTGCCTTGAAAGCGCAAGGTCCTGAGTTAGATACCTGGTACCAAAAAAAAAGTTAGGAATGAGGCTCACAAGGTAAAGTGGATCTAACTGGAGAAGGCTTGGGTAGGAAATTGCAACAGGAAGTTTTTAATATTCACTGCAGCCTTCTTTGTAATGTGAATGATGGGAAAATAGCCTAGTGTCTACGAACAGGTAGTGGTTAAACATGGCCAGACAGCTGTATGAGGGAAGATGATCTGAGCAGCTGACTTTCTTAGAACGCAGACCCAGATGTGCTCATGAGGAACAATCTCTAAGGCTGGGCTGAGTGCTCTCTATTTGTTCCCACACCCAGACCCACCCTCTTCCCTTTCTGTTCTGTTCTGTACCAGTGAGCTGGACCTCCTCCACGGCACCACAAGGCTCCCTGGTTTGGGCTTTCACTTGGATTTGGCCAAGGGGAGACACACGCAGGACACCGGAATGCAGGAGACTGAGGTAAGAATATTTCTTCCCTGCTCCTCCCCACTAGGGTTCTGGGTTTGGACACATCCCAGTCCCTCACTCCCATCCCAAAACTCCATCTCCCACTCATGAGCCTATTGCCCATGGCTCTGGTTCTCTCTGGTCTCTGGGCCCTATTTTTGCCCTTTTCCTTTTGGGCATTGGAATCTCTGAGGTTAAACTATCTGAATGGAGTTCTGATAGCTGCAGGGACCCTGACCATGACACAGGTATGTGGGGATTGATAAGGAGGGAACCCCCAGAGATGGCCTCCAACTGACCTGCCGAGAATCTTTCCAATCATCTTCACCATTAATGTCCCCACCAGTCCACCGATGGCGAATATGGACACAGTCACAGACCAGAGCAGAGTCAGAGTATCCGGGTCTATTGGATGTCCATGCCTTCTTTGCCATGATTCATTGTAAAAGGCCTTGATGTACTGGAAATAAACAACAAACCATGTTATTTCCTTCTGTCCCATCCTGATTCTTGAAGTAAACCAGCATAAAAAACAAAATAACTTTTATAAGAGTACTTTCTTCATATTCAGCCCTTTGTCAAATTCTGCCTGAGCTTTATCTCACTGGACTCGTCTAATTCTAGGAATGGTCCCTATTTTTTATCTTATTTTACAGACAGGGAAACTGAAACTCAAAGAAATAGAGGGACTTGTTCCGTAAGTAACATGGGAGTCAAACGCAGATCTGCCCCCTAAGCCTGTGATAGCCACTGTACCTGGGCTTCTCCAACTTTAATGCTCAGTAGTATCACCTTAGAGGTGTATTAAAAGCATACACATCTAACAAAAGGCATAGCTTGGAATGGTTAAAGATATAAGATATAAAACATAACAATAAAAGACAAAAATGCCATCTAGATTTTATCAAAATTGGTCTTATATTACTTAAAAGGCACCATCAAAAACTGAAGACAAGCCATAGGCTGAGTTAGCATACTTGCTAAACATACAAAGGGAATGTATCCATAATACACAGAGTGCTAATGTGTCAATTGGAAGACAAATGATGCAATTACAAATGAGAAAGAAGATTTGAATGGACCCTAGAGAAAACACAAATGACCAGTAAGGCAATAATAGGATGTTCACTATCATTAGTCACCAAGGAGATGGAAATTAAAACCACAATGAGATACATCTTCATACCCACTAGATCCTCATCACTGTCATTGGGCTTGGGACAAGAATTGGGTAACTCTAATGTGCACCAGAGATTGAGGTCATGGCACTAAGCTCCCCAAGAGAGGTCGATCTCCAATGTATTCATAGTGGCCTATTGTTGCCAAACATGGCTCCTAAGTCCCAGCAGAGCCAGTACATGACATTGAGGAAAAGCATAGTTTGGGGTCTCATACCTGGGCTGAATTCTAGCACAGTGCTTTATCTGCTGAACCTTGGTTTTCCACATCTGCAAAGTGAGCTTTCTGGGCTGTCATGAGGGCCCCATGAGAGGTTGGAACAGTGTTCACTACTTAAGCAGAGCTCATACACAATCCCCACACAGTAAAAATTAAAAAGTCTTGTAGGACCAAGTAGTGATGAGCATGTGTACCCCTTGCTTGTGGGAGTTTAATTTGTGCAGCCATCTTGGAAAACAGTTTGACATCATCTTGTCAAGTTGGAGATGCCCTTAGTCTACAACCCAGCAGATCCTCTTCTAGAAAATTGCCCTGAAAGATTTCCCCACAAGAATTAGGATATATCTACTTAAACATCCTTGGTAGCTGTGACCATCAATCCTGATTTGTCAACTTCATTGGACTAAGAAACACCTAACAGATTACTAAATCACACTCCTGAGTGTGTCTGGGTGGATCATGGTGGCATGGCCCTGAGTAGATATATGGTCCTTGGGACTACACATGGTCCTTAAGCCATTCCTCTCCAGCACTGTTCCCCTGCTCTGCTTCCCTGCTGCCATGAACTAAGCAGCTTTGCTCCACCACACCCTCTGTCATGAAGTTTTTGCCTTGAAGCCAGCTTACCATGGACTGAAATTTCTAAAATCATGAGCTAAATAAACCTCTCCTTTAACCTGTGGATGCTGGGTATTCTATCTCAGCAAGGAGAAAGCATTGCTCATCGTAATCCCAAGCAGGAAACAACCCAGATATCCAATGACAGTAGAAAGGATAAATTGCAGATTAGTGATAAAAAACATTACAGCCACAAACATGTATGAACTATAGCAAAATCTCACCAAAAATAGTACTGATCAGAAGATAGAAACAAAGAAATGCATATTATGATTCCATATATAAAACTCAAAGATATGCAATTTTGGAAATTTGTGGGTGGAATTATATATAGATGGAAAAATGACCAAAAAAAGCAAAGAAATAATTACCTCAAATATCAGCTCAGTGGTTGTCTGAGGGGATGGTGTAGACATGATTGGAGAGGAATACTTGGCAGGACCTGCTATTCTTAACCTGGATGGTGGTTACCTGGGTGGTTAAGTTGTGTTTGTGCATGCATGAGATCTATATTTGTATTTTATATACTCTTTTATAAGCATGATACACTTTGGCCACTTTAAAACCTTTTTTAAAAGAATAGTGGAAAAATGTTCCAGGGAGAGGGAAACGCATGTGCCATTGCAGCATGGTAAGGAAAGCTCGGATGTCCACGGAATGAAGTGGCCAGCATAGGTGGAAGGGGACAGGAAGGGGAAAGGGTGGACTGGGCAGAGTTGGAAGGGCAGGTCGTGTGAGCCATTATCATGGTCAGAGCATGGTTTTTACTTGGATTTTACTCTAGGTGTACTGGGAAACTACTGGAGGGTTTTAAGCAAGGGAGGACTGCAGCATTTGTATTTTCAGGGGATCTCTCGGCTACCGAGGGGCAAGTGGATTAGAGGGCAGCTAGAGGAGAAGCCGGACATCAGTGTCTGTTGGAGGCACTGCATGGTCCAAAGGTCCTGATGGCCTGGACTAAGCAGTGGAGACAACAGAAGTGGATGGGTTTGAGGTGTATCTTGAGAGTAAAATGAACAGGATTTATAATCCCAGCTACTTGGAGAATGAGGTGGGAGGATCTCAAGCTCAAGGCTAGCCTGGGCAACTTAGTGAGACTGGCTCTAAAAAAAGTGGTCAGGACTTACTGGTTCTGTTTTATGGAAGGAGGGCACTGGAGAAGACCAAAAGGAGCAGAGAAGACTCCAGGTCTCAGATGTAAGCAAATGGTGTGGTGGCAGAAGATGAGGAGAACAGTAGTCTCTCCTCCTGCATGGTACTCATCCTCTTCCCATTTTCTCTCTCTTTCTATCACCACAGCTTCCTTCTTTATAGCATGGAGAAAGTCCAGAACTCACTAACAGCTAGGGCTCTTCCTATTGATGATGACATTCGCATGCCTTCATGCACAAGATGCTCTAATCTGCCATCGTCCTCTAATTCATTCAACAACTGAACTGAGTACTAGGTCATGAGTTGGACACAGAGATAAACCAAACATGGCCACAGATCTCAAAGAAATTACAGCTCAACAGAGCTGGTATTATGTTGTATCATGGAGGGATGTTCTTGGATGCAAGGAACAGGAAACCTCCACTCAAAATGACTAAGCAATGGAGACACTTATACGAATGCAGATTCACAGAAGGGATGAGCTTAATGTACTGTTAGTGTAGTGGCTCAGGACCATGGACAAGCACACAGGTGCTTCCTGTGGCTCCACTCTGCTTTGCACAATTTGAGCTCATCTCGAGGCTGCATCTACTCAGAATTGTAGGATGACTCCTAGGAGTGATTCCAGCCATGTGCCTTTGCATTACGCATGACTGGAGAAAGTAATGTGGCCTTTAATAGATATTCTGGGGCTGAGGAGAACTTTCCTAGAAGACTCTAGAAAACCTCTTATTGTCCCGCTGGCTAGGGTTGGGGCATAAGTCCTTTACGTGAGCAGTCACTGGAGAGTAGGATGGGAACAATCATTCTGGACTTTTGCCCTTGAATTCCTTTTCTAATCTGCCCCTCCAACCTTAGCAGGTGGCCCCATAATTCTCCAGTTGCTCAGCCAAAAGCCATGAATTCATTCTTCACCCTTGCCCTTGGCCCAAGCATCTCAGCTACAGCACTCCCTCATCTTTTCATCATGATGTGAATAATGTCCCCTCAAAATTCATCTGATAAAACTCTCAGTGCCTCAGGACGTGATCTTATTCCAGAAGTAAGCAAGTTAAAATGGGGTCCTTACAGTAGCCTCTGCCCCAATTCAGGTGGTGTCCTAATAAAAATGGGAACTTTGGGGCCAGGTAGGAAGGCAGAGGGGAAACAAAGGTGAGAGGTACAGGGAGAAGATGGCCATCTGTGAGAGGCATGGGATAGGTGGGTCCTTCACAGCCCTCAGAAGGGACCAACACTGCCAACACATTGATCCCGGACTTCCACAGCCTAGAACTGTAAGACAACATATTTCTGTTGTTTAAGCCACTCATGGTAGTGTACATCATTACAGCAGCCCCAGAAAGCTCATACCCTTGCCCTCCTTCCCCAAGACTTCTCCCACTCCCACCACTCAACCCCAGCCCCTCTCGCCTGAGGTCCTATGACACTGACCCTCCAGTCCTCCCCAAAGTGCTACAAACAGCCTCTATGAACAAGTACCACATCTCCAACCATGGCTGGACATCAAGCCAACATCAAGCACTTAGTGCAAAGTCTTTATAAACTCCAGCAGGCACTTGCCATCCTTTATGGCTACCCAGCATCGGTAGCTCCCTTCCTATTTGGGAAGACTTTACTTCCTCATGAGTGCTCGTGGGAAACAAAGGGCACTTGTCACAGTGGAGGTTGGACACGCTAGATATGAGGTGTGATCAAAACCTGCAGTGTTCGATCCCCGGTACCAAAAAAAAAAAGGTGAATGATTACATTTTTCAAAATTATTACAGTGGAAGACACACTGTCATTAATCTCCTCCCAAAATTTCCCCCTCACTTTGAACACACTTATCCCATCATTCTTGCCCTTCTAAAGCAGTTCTGGAAGCGTCATTACAAGGTACAATCAACCCATGCCTACAAATGAAGGGACTGAGAGGGACAGCAATTGCCAATGGCCATGCAGCTCATACATAGCAGAAGGGCATTTGTGCTGGAGCTGCTGACTTCAAGGCCCAAACACAACCACTCCACTATCTGGGCTCTGAAATCCACCACGAAGGAGTGGAAGTTAGCAGCTAAGTGCAGTGGTGCATGAGTTGGTGAAATACCAGTTTAGCCCTTGTGTGGTCGCAACACTCTATCGGACCCTGGTAAATACAACAGTGACAACCCCCAAAGAGCAAAGTGCACCAGGAAGAAACAGCGATAACTGCTAAGGCAAGGGGACAGAGGGACACAGGATGGGCCAAGGGCTACAGCAAAGGTGCGCAGGGCCAGGGCTGCTCAGAGAAGCCAGGGTAGCAGTGAGGAACCCCGGGATTC